CCCTCTGCCTGGTTGCCCCCCCCCCCCCCCCCCCCCTGAGAGGCCTTCCCCTGGCCGCTCCTCCTGCACCTCCCCGCCCTGACCCCTGTAAAGTTAACCCTTCTCTCCTTCCCGCCCTGTGAACGCTCTTACCCATCTTGGAGCCTATAGAGATCACACAGATCACAGACCCCCGAATGCACGTTTGTCCCTCGAAGCTCTGCCCCACCCCCCACCGGAGGTGACCAGTCAAGGCCTGACCCAGCAGGTGGCTGTAAAACGAATGAATGATGGACAGACAGGCTGCAAGGCCAGGGCCATGCACCCAGGTTCCCCAGCGTGACTGCAGACGTGTGCATCCTGGGGAGGTGGAGGCCAGGCCCCGCCCACCCGGGTAGTGCAGGCCCCTTCCTTCATTCTGAGCCCTGCTGGAGGCGGAGGCAGGTGACTGCTGGGGATCGGATTAACCGCTCCAGGTTAATTGGCTGTCCCCCGCTACCAGCATGACAGATCCTGCTTGACATTTCCCTAGATAGTTAATTGATACCCAAGTAATTTGTCATGGAGACCTCGTTATATGCCAACTAGGTCCCCTAAGCCGTCAGCGTCTGTGCCCCAGAAACAAGATTGGCAAGTTAATAACGGAGCCTTAATCACGCTGTTTCCTGCTGGCATTGGAAGAGAATACCCAGAGACAGGATGGGGCGTCACTGGGCAGAGACGATGCTTTCTAGGGCCTTGGGAACAGAGTGTCCTGAGAGATCCCAGAGCCCCTGCACCTTCCTGAGAAGGTCCCTTCCCATTTCCCCAGCCAGGCGTGCCTTCTGGTGACCGTGTTCGGCCTGCTGAGGAACCCCCTTCCATAGGTGCACTGGGGCTGATTCCACTCCCTGGCTCCGGCAGGTATGTGGTGCCCCCAGAGTGAACTGACAAGTCCGTCTTTACCTAAGAGGGTTCGTGTTGCTTTCTGTCACATGTAAGCTGGAGGCTTCTCAGCTCAAACCCCTCTGGGCTCTTACCCCAGGATTCGAGCCCATCTGCAGAACCTGTGTGGGGTCTGATCAGGGGCCTGGACAGGAAGACAGCCTGGTGCAGAAAGGGGAGGCCTGGACAGAAGGCCAGGGCTGTCAGGGAAGGGGATTTTTCAGGACGGACGCAGTGTCTGGCCTCGGGAGAAGGGGAGCAGGGTGAGAGAGGAGTAAAAGTAGGGCAGAGGCTCCCTCAGCGTCCCAGACCAGCAAGCAGCACAGAGGGACGCCTGGGCATCGGCTTCAGCACCAAGGACAGCGGTGGCCTCATGGCCCAGAGTGGGGAGGGGGGCACAAGTTACTGGGGTGAGGGCAAGGGCGGGGTTGTAGCTCTCATACACTTGTTCTCAAGAAGCCACTAGATGATGCACACCGTCAATACAAGGGAGCAGGCCCAAATAAAGGGCTTCAGAATCCACGAAGGAGGGGGATTCAGCACAGGAGAGACGAGGGTGGAGAGAGGTCCTTGGTGATGGATGTGTAGCAGGTGTACGAGGCAACCGGGACAGGTGGATATGGGAGGAATGGCTCTGAGTTAGTTGTCTTTTGCTGTGTAATAAATTATCCCAGAACAGGGGCGCCTGGGTGGCTCAGTCGGTTAAGAGTCTGACTTCGGCTCAGGTCATGATCTTGTGGTTCGTGAGTTTGAGCCCCACGTTGGGCTCTCTGCTGTCAGCACAGAGCCCGCTTCAGATCCTCTGTCCCCCTCTCTCTGCCCGTCCCCCAGTAGTGAACACACTGTCTCTCAAAAATTAAAAAAACAAACATTTTAAAAATACGTAAAATTGTCCCAGAACAGGGGCGCCTGGGTGGCGCAGTCGGTTAAGCGTCCGACTTCAGCCAGGTCACGATCTCGCGGTCCGTGAGTTCGAGCCCCGCGTCGGGCTCTGGGCTGATGGCTCAGAGCCTGGAGCCTGTTTCCGATTCTGTGTCTCCCTCTCTCTCTGCCCCTCCCCCGTTCATGCTCTGTCTCTCCCTGTCCCAAAAATAAATAAACATTGAAAAAAAAAAATTGTCCCAGAACAAAGATCTATTGTCCCGCGTGGTTTCTCATGGAACCATCCTGGAGGCTGTCTACCACAGGCTCCAAGAAAGAAACCAGATTTATAGATGGTCTGATGTTTTTAACATACCAGAAAAGAGATTTATATTTTTCTTACAGGGTTTGGGGATGAATAAGTAATAGGTACACAGAAAATAAAGCAAACCCAAAACACGAGGCAGTTATTAAGTCCAGGAAAAACAAGAGGTTGTACAAGAAAAAAGATGTAATTACAATACGTTACTCAGCTGTGAGTAGTATGTGCAAAGAAATAATAATGCATACATTGAATTATGATTCAGCCAAAATGAGAAGATGGGTGGAAGAAAAGTGTGTGTGTGTGTGTGTGTGTGTGTGTGTGTGTGTGAACAAACTCTCAACAGCAGGAAGTGAGTGGATGATTTCCAAGTCTGAAAAAAAGGCAACGTTGGCACGTTATTTAGAAGTAAATACCAAAACAAACTAACTAAAATAACAAAATTTTGCCTCTGAGAAGGGGAAATCAGGAGAGACGGTGGGTCCGGAGCGAGCAGCTGGTTTTTCGCGGCAAGTCTTACAGAGATATTTGATTAAGCCACGGACATTTATGACTTTGGTGAAAAACCAAGTGGAATTCAAACAACTATAACGCAGACACACTCCAGCCTGCTCCATACTCCCGGGAACCCCAGGGAAGGGCGTAGGGAGCTGCCTCCTTTTTGGGGGGCAGCCCCCCCCACATCCTGGAGCCTGGTCTCCCTCCCCGCCCTCGCAGGGGCCCTCCGCTGGCTTCCCCCACTTCCCTCCCTCCACCTTGGACTCTTCGCCTGTCTCCTGCCTTCACTGTCCCCTTGTCCACTCTTCTGCCTGTTGGGCGGGGAACAATCAGACGGAGGGGGGCCCAGCCCTGCCCCCAGTGACGCCTGTGGTGGTGGGAAACCGCCAGAAGTCACT